CCCCAACAGATCCACAGATGATGCAATCTCTATTGCACTCCACACTGCCCTTTCCCACCTGGACAAGAGGACCACCTACGTGAGAATGCTATTCATTGACTACAGCTCAGCATTCAACACCATAGTGCCCTCAAAGCTCATCACTAAGCTAAGGATCCTGGGACTAAACACCTCCCTCTGCAACTGGATCCTGGACTTCCTGACGGGCCGCCCCCAGGTGGTAAGGGTAGGTAACAACACATCTGCCACACTGATCCTCAACACGGGGGCCCCTCAGGGGTGTGTGCTCAGTCCCCTCCTGTACTCCCTGTTCACCCATGACTGCATGGCCAGGCACGACTCCAACACCATCATTAAGTTTGCTGACGACACAACAGTGTCACCGACAACGATGAGACAGCCTATAGGGAGGAGGTCAGAGACCTGGCCGTGTGGTGCCAGGATAACAACCTCTCCCTCAACGTGACCAAGACAAAGGAGATGATTGTGGACTACAGGAAAAAAAAGAGGACTGAGCATGTCCCCATTCTCATCGACGGGGCTGTAGTGGAACAGGTTGAGAGCTTCAAGTTCCTTGGTGTCCACATCACCAACAAACTATCATGGTCCAAACACACCAAGACAGTCGTGAAGAGGGCACGACAAAGCCTATTCCCCCTCAGGAGACTGAAAAGATTTGGCATGGGTCCTCAGATCCTCAAAAAATTCTACAGCTGCACCTTCGAGAGCATCCTGACTGGTTGCATCACCGCCTGGTATGGCAACTGCTTGGCCTCCGACCGCAAGGCACTACAGAGGGTAGTGCGTACGGCCCAGTACATCACTGGGGCCAAGCTTCCTGCCATCCAGGACCTCTATACCAGGCGGTGTCAGAGGAAGACCCTCAAAATTGTCAAAGACTCCAGCCACCCTAGTCATACACTGTTCTCTCTGCCACCGCACGGCAACCGGTACCGGAGTGCCAAGTCTAGGTCCAAAAGACTTCTCAACAGCTTCTACCCCCAAGCCATAAGACTCCTGAACAGCTAATCATGGCTACCCAGACTATTTGCACTGCCCCCCCACCCCATCCTTTTACGCTGCTGCTACTCTGTTAATTATTTATGCATAGTCACTTTAACTCTACCCACATGTACATATTACTTCAACTACCTCAACTAGCCGGTGCCCCCGCACATTGACTCTGCACCAGTACCCTCCTGTAGATATATCCTCCCTACTGTTATTTTATTTTACTTCTGCTCTTTTTTTCTCAACACTTTTTTTGTTGTTGTTTTATTTTTACTTTTTTGTTAAAAATAAATGCACTGTTGGTTAAGGGCTGTAAGTAAGCATTTCACTGTAATGTCTGCACCTGTTGTATTCGGCGCATGTGGCCAATAAAATTTGATTTGATTTGATTTGGAATTCAAGTTTTCTCTGTCAATGACGTTTGGCTTTTGATGTGATGTGATTGGTGTGAAGCCAAATCCAAATTGGCTTCCCTTGACACTAGGACCATTCACAGTTGAGGTCAATCAGTTTAGCTCAACGCTGATTGGCTATTATTTTATAGTTTCTTTATCAAGGGAGGCCAAATGCTTGCTGGCTTCCCTTGCATTCAATGCTACGGGTGGCAACAATGTCCTACTCTTTTTGACCAGACAGCATCAGATAGATGGGCTACACATACAGAGACAGAGGGGCGCTGTTTCGCTTGCTCGGATGCTTTCTCTGGTGAGATACATTCAGCCTCTTACGAATTCAAGGAAAATTGTGAAACACAGAGAGACTAAAGATATATAATTTTTTCTTTTTTTCTGACAATTTTTCAGGGGGAGGAAGTCAGTGAGGAGCAACTGCAGAAACTTGCAATTGACTGCAGTCAACACTTCATGGTCTTTGATCACATCATTTTTGTAAAGTTCATGCAGTCGACATGTAAGCGCAAGTCGGACAATTTTTATCCCCAGAATGCAACACACTTTGAAAGTTATCTGCTCGAACACATCCATTGAGACAAGCACGATGCAAGACATGCTCTCACACAGTCACACAGAGTATCTGCACATGTGCAGAGGTGTGCTTCACGCTGCTACAATGTGGTAGCTAAGGGACCAAAAGAGTGGAGAAGTTGCGCAGTGGTCTAAGGCGCAGTGGTCTAAGGCACTGCATCGCAGTGCTAGCTGTGCCACTAGAGATCCTGGTTCGAATCCAGGCTCTGTCGTAGCTGGCCGCGACCGGGAGACCCATGGGGCGGCGTACAATTGGCCCAGCGTCGTCTAGGGTATGGGAGGGAATGGCCGGCAGGGTTGTAGCTCAGTTGGTAGAGCATGGCGTTTGCAACGCCAGGGTTGTGGTTGTGGTGGTTGTGGGTTCGATTCTCACGGGGAGCCAATATGAAGAAAAAAATATATATAATGTATGCACTCACTCACATGTAAGTCGCTCTGGATAAGAGTGTCTGCTAAATGACTAAAATGTAAATGTTAAATGTAAGTTTAGCCTTGCACTTCAACGCTCCTAGGTGTTGTGTAAATTGACCCACTACTACAGTTTACTTCGTGCATCTATGTCATCTCGCTGAGTCTAACTTAAAACCTAACCTGACCTATGACCTGACCCATCACCTTATGCCTTACTGCCCCACAGTGGCAAAAACGCAAAACCTACACAGAAATGGCTCCTAGCCTCCCTCATAGGCTTCTTTCTGTCCCTAACATTAAAACTATAACTGAATAACTAAATAATATAAAAAACGACATAGAAATATTTGTATAAAACTTGAACTAAATAAAAACTAGATCTGAAAACTAACTGAAACTAAACTGAATTCCAAAGAAAAATCTTTAAACTAATATAAAAAAATATATATATATATATATATATATATATATAATAACCTTGATATTCACACACTGAACCATCATCCCATAGGACGGCGCACGTCCGGGTTTGGCCAGTGTAGGCCGTCATTGTAAATAAGAATTTGTTCTTAACTGATTTGCCTAGTTAAATAAAGGTTAAATAAAAATAAAAAATAAAAATAAAATTCAACCTCAAGAGCATAAACATTCTTCAAACTGTGCATCATGCATTTCAATTATAAACATTTAACCTATGACAAAAAAATGCTTTGAATAAATGCTGTCACTGGTATTTTTACTTGCCATAAATTATATTACTTGAACAGTGAATAGCAAATATACAGGCTACAATATAAGCCTCTCCAATTAAGGGAATAGATAGCCTAATGAATAATTGATCCTTTGTTGGTCATGTTAACTGCATGGATATTGTTATAGTTAAAATATAAATGTGTGATAGCCTATGTGTAAACAAGTATGCCTATTTGATGAAATGGGCAGCTTTTACATTTTTATAATTTCCCAAATAGGACTAATATTCAAAAAGATACACATAGTTGAGTTTAATAAAAAAGTCCCTTGCTAGATTTACAAAATTATGTTATCATTTCATTATTCAGAGGATACACAAATATTAGGCTACACGTGTTTTCCCCGAAGCCAGATAAGCTTGTCAACCACGAGGTCATTATTTAAATGTTTATATGATTATGCATTTATACAATTATAATAAAGTTTGATTCTACAGTTCTGGAAAAGCAACAATTATTCTGGGAAGATTTCAATCCAGGGAGTGAAAACAGAGAACTGATTGGCGCTCATTTTAAAGGTTAATTCATTTTTTTAAAGTGTTTCCTTGGGTTATATGCCAAAAGTGTTTCCAAATTGTCTCGGCCACACGTCTTACAAATGATAATACATGGTTTGCACACTAACCGACTGGCCACGTATCAACAATTTTGAAAAGTAATAACTTTAAAATACATCCCTGCATGTTTTTTTCTAATGTAGATGTAAGACAATATTAGTCTACACGTTTATTTTGCATTTCTTTCTCTAGCCTACATTATATTGAATTAACCATTTCCCTCCCTCAAAGTATTTCACATCTAGGCGACGGCCTAATTGTATTAGCCTACTATAACATATCCTAGGCTCACAAAGAAATACAACATGCACGCAAGGAACTTATTTTTTCCACAAATGTTTGTAAAAGGGGACCAATGTAAGCATGTTGAACGAAAACACAACATTTTACTAACTGAAGCAAAATAGAAATATCAAAATTCAAAATATATGTATGTGAAAATTGCGTAAAATCCGTGTGTAAAGGCTGTCAGAGAGCTCATTATGGAATCCACAGGAGCCCTTTCCACTGCAAATATTCTAATTAAACACATGAAAATGATGGCATTATGCCATTTTTTTTATTAAAATGGGGAAAAGACCCTGCAAATTATGTCTTGGTTTGCTTTGTATGCTCTCATATCCAGTTACTGCGGTTTTGTTGTGGGACCATGGCGCATGTTTTTGTAGCTTCGAACACACCGACTGTGTTTTTGCGTTTTGGTACACAACATGTACGTTCATTTCCAATGGAACACTTGCAGCACTGCGTTGCAGAGGCAGTTGCAGTGCATTCTGTGTGGTGCATAGGTTGGATTTATCGAACGTATGCGTCAAACTGTATGCATAAACGGGTTGACAGAAATGGTAGCAGAAGGTGAATGTTTAACTTTTGTTGCACACATTTCTAGATGATGCTGCATACTATTTTGCGCAATGACACAGTCGGTGTGTTCAAAGCGTTAACCTCTCATGGTGCTTTCAAGACAACTGGGAACTCGGAAAAAACGTGACGTCAGTGATCTTCAAGTCGGAAAGTCGGAGCACTAGAAAGATGCCAGAGATTCCAACTTGCAATTCCAAGTTGGATGACCATTCAAAACTTTTTTTTCCAAGTCAGAGCTCGTTTTTTTTCGAGTTTCCAGTTGTCTTGGACACACAGAAGTCGGAAGTTGGAGATTTCTGAATTCCGAGTTCGCAGTTGTTTGAACGTGGCATCAAACACTTCCAACCAAACCTGTAGCCTTCTCACCCTATTGGCTGACTGGTCGATCTGTCGCTTTCGAAACCATATAAACCTGTGGCCCCGCACCTTCATTTGGGTCAAATTTATTGCGCAAATGAGAGCAATCCCACGAAAAATATGGGCACTCGAGATTTTCAAAACCTGTCTGGATTATACTAGTCCTGCCTCACTTTAAATGTATCAGAATGTCAACGACGGTTTCTCAACGAACTTGATACTTTTTTGAGGAGAAACGTTTAAAACGTGTGTTGGTTGTCATGTGTTTCTAGCCTATTTGTTATAGTGAAGGGCTTCATATGTCGATTGGAGCATCAGTCGCGAATGTCACTTTCCCCTGATCACTATAGCATACATAGGTCAGTGACTAGTGTTACCAACCGCAAGACTCCTGCAGGACCGGTGGCGATTTTTATTTATTGTAAAAATGAACCTTATTGGGAGCTACCAGCATCATCATCTGATGCACGACACGTTTCCATTCGTCCAGAGGTGTCATCAAGATAACCCCTACTTCCAAAGCTGGGTGGTGAACAACGGCGAAGTCCCCCCTGACTTCCAGATGCCTTACTCCACGGAGTTCGGGGCTCCGGGTCCGGCGCACGAAAGCCAGCTGGATGCTCTCTCGGCATGCATGGGGAAGAGGAGAGCCTCGGGGCCGAAGAAGGAGCGGAGGAGGACCGAGAGCATCAACACCGCGTTCGCCGAACTGAGAGAATGTATACCAAACGTACCCGTAGACACGAAACTGTCCAAAATTAAAACGTTACGACTAGCAACAAGTTACATTGCCTACCTAATGGACGTGCTGGCTAAAGACACTGGGGAGACCGAGGGATTCAAGGCCGAAATCAAGAAATATGATAGAGATTTGAAACGGAAACGGGAAACGGTAGGCTATGTGAACTATTTTAATAAGCTGCCTTTTATTTTTGCATAGGCCTAGGCTATATATATATAAATATAAATATATAAATATTTTACTGTCCCAAAAATCTAAATGCATATTCTGCAAACTATAGCAGCATTGTAAAAATAGTATTTATTGGAATTAGGCTCACGTAGTCTACGTTCTGCCATCAAGCTAAGTTATTGTCTTAATTATTGAGTGTAGGCCTATTTTAGGCAGAATATGATGGAATATGCACCTTCGTGATTGTGGTTTTATCTGTTGAAACAATGTTGAGGCCATAATGTTGTAATTACTGTGTAGGCCTATTCAATTAATGTTCAAATGAATTGTATGTTTGTTGGCTCTGTAAAGCGAAAACATTTAACATTTTATAGCAATGAAAGTCACTATACAATCCCATGTCAGAGAAATCATATTTTGAGCTCAATTGAACAAGCCTGAAAAGGCCTATAAAGAGAAATAATATAACATGATTCGACCTCTGGTTGTTAATTTGCACATGTAATAGGCCTAAGTGTTTATTTAATTCAGGCCATGTAATTTTACATTGAGTTTAAAATCAGTCAATATTACAATTGCATAGTGCATATATCAATATTGACTACATTTGTATTTTATTTCACAGAACGATGGCCTGCAAGAGTCATTAGGAAACGAGAAAAAGTTCAAAGGACGGACAGGTTGGCCTCAGCAAGTCTGGGCTTTGGAACTGAACCAGTGAATGTTTTGACCTCTGAGCACAGCAGCATGCAACCCACTCAAAGACTCCGTATTCAATCACGTCGCTGCAAGGAATACAACCACTTATACACATCTACTGTATATACGTGCAATGTTCAAATTCAAACAAGGTGGACTTGGTAAAATGCAATATTATGCAAATAATTCAACAACTGCCTGGTAAACGTTTCTTTGTCATTTGTCTTCTTTTAGAGAATTTAAATGAAAGTTATATAGCTTAGAATAAATATTATTTCTTGTGGATAGGCCACAATAACAAACGGAGAGACTGGGATATTTGTGGTGTTTATTCTTTACGCCTCACGGTTATGGGTAGAGCACGACAATAAGTTGACTCTACTACAACAAGACCAATGCAAAGCGGGGAAAACAGTGTTCAGCACTATTTTCCCTGCTTTGCATTGGTCTTGTTGTAGTAGAGTCGACCTACTGTCGTAGTATGTCTTGTAAAGAAAAATGTTGAATCTACCTCAAATTAATGTAACTGTCCGTTTGAAATAGAAAACTAATACATTTAGCATTTCAGGACAAATAGCCTATTATATATTAAACAATGGAACGCACAGGTTTATATTACTTCGAAATGTTACCGATAAAGGCCAATTATTAGACTACTGATATTTGGTTCTGATGAAATTGTTTTCTTCGTATGAATTCGATGTGAAATTATATTCATAATGACTTTAATTTAATCACACAATCTTTAAAACGGCAATGAAATAAGTCAGTTCTCCAACAGAATGATTAGGTAGGCTATACAAATCTTGATATGCATAGCCCTAAGCAATTATTCATTTGCTTTATTTGAGGACACATTATTTTATTTATTCAACCTTTTGTTTTATGGTGATGTAGGCCTACTAGATAATTTAATGGTTTGAGGTGCAGTAGTATAAAATATGAAAACACATGCTTCAGTGTGCAAAGGAAAATAAACAGTGGTAGGACTATCTCTGGTATATCGAGAGCTTGGGACTAAGATTCGATCTGCATTTTGTCCAAATTGAGTTACTGACATAGCCTTGTTCTGTTCCATGTTCTAACATATAGTAGCCTACTCTAAATACCCCAATTCATGTGGTTAAGTTCAAAAGAGTACAAGATAAAAATTGCTTACACCATTTATACCAAAGAGGGTTCGGGAACTTTAAAGCCAATTATCTCAGAATCATCTTTTTGAAGATAGAACCTTATCATCCCAAGCTCTCGATATCTCTAGCCATATGACTGGGGAAAAATTGATATAGGCAAGGGAAGGCCTATGCCATTTGTGATGGCAGTTACAGGCTATTTTCTTGTAGCGTACCTTCATGGTTCAGTGGTGTGAGCTAAAACATTTGATTGGCTCTACACGATATTTACCAAATTCAGAAATTAATTATAGATCAATATATATGTCTATAGCAATTACATTCTAAAATCTAAATGTAGAAGATAAATAAATACTTTTCAATTTACGGTTATATTCCTTTTGGGGGCTGGGACAGATGAACGCTGTTTCGACTGATCTAACAGAGCGGTCTTTCGATTGAACAGCCCACAAGATAAAGTCGCCCCATCAATCAATCAATTTCAAAGTATATCCTATAGGATATAATAATCGAATTAAGAGATATTATTTAAATGATACAAACATACAGTATATAGCCTATGAACAAATATTTGGTTTGGAATAGGCTATTTGCAGAGGCCTAATCATACATGAGAAAAACACGTTTCATATCAGAGGTAAACACATTTTTTTGGCCTGAATAAATAATTATTTGGCTAAATAAAAAAGGAAGAGGCTGATGAGCAAGAATCTCAATTCTCATATTTTATAACTTATAGCCTATGTGGTCTAACCTAGTTCTAGCAAGAAAGGGGTTCCTCCAGCAAAGGTGTGCATCTGTGTGCATGCAAGTTCAAGTTCATTGCTCATCAACCAATCATGCTCAGGCAATATTTCTTTGAAAAACATATGTCATTCTCAAACCTATGCGCCCAACATCAATGCAAACTATATAAATTTGCCTATACAGAAACTCAATGAAAAGGTGTGGTAGGCTATGATAGTAATTAGTAGCATGCAGGAAACCTTGTATTCCATAGCCTGTGTAGGGAAATGCATAAGACAGCCTGAGCAATGTGTCCTTATAATAATTTCCTGATATTGGCGCCTCAATTTTGGACATAGGCCTACTCATGCGTGGACTAAATTATTGCAGGGAGAAAGGGTTGTAAGCAGGCTACACATGATCAATAGTCCTTACAAAGTCATACAACTGCATTAATATATCCTACATGTAGGCCTACATGTATGTTTTTAGAAACCTAAACCAGAAATAATTACCGGGAGACCCATGGGGCGGCGCACAATTGGCCCAGCGTCGTCCAGGGTAGGGGAGGGAATGGCCGGCAGGGATGTAGCTCAGTTGGTAGAGCATGGTGTTTGCAACGCCAGGGTTGTGGGTTCGATTCCCATGGGGGGCCAGTATTAAAAAGATAATGTATGCACTAACTGTAAGTCGCTCTGGATAAGAGCGTCTGCTAAATGACTAAAATGTAAATGTGGGGCCCCAACAGAATGCTGCTGGACACCTAGTGGTGGATCTAGTAACACATAGCAACCTGGCCTCCGGGCAATTCGTATGATTTGGGGAGTTTCTTTGTATATCCCTCCATTTAGTGCCATATGTTATGTTTGGGCTGAGTAGCCACATACAGAGAGAGAGACCATAATGCACGCCTGAGGTATAGGTGCACTGTAATTCTGCATCACTAGTGATTGGGCTACATAACATCTCTCAGCGATCCCTTTGTCTATGGTTGAAAAAGCATGAAAGGAGAGAAGTTTTGTCCAGTCACTAATTCCATCCACCCACTAATCAGAAAATGGAGTGACTACCCCACAATAAACAAAGACAAGCCATTATATATGTACAGTACATTTATTAAAAGCAATAAGCAGCCATATTTAAATAAATGTGTTTTATCTATTACAACAAATGGGTTAAGCAACACAGCCAATATGCTAACATAGGAGGGGAAAAAAAAGAAGAGGGAAATCTATATGGCACTAACAAAGCTACAAGCAAAAACTCAAAAAAGCCATCGATAGTTCAGCAAATGACACATTTGACATGGCTAATTGATGGTGTAAGATGGAAAACAGTAGACATTAAGTTATTCCGTAGGACTTAAATAAGGTCTGGGACAGAGAAAACCTACTCAATACTAAGGCATAGCATCATCTGTGAATAGACCACTGACAATCAAACAAAACAGCAGTGTTGAAGTGAACAAGAAAATCCCAATTAGTGATACAGAGAAAGCAAAAACGTGTTATTTTTACGACTCCCATCTTCCACCAGCGACTATAAGCGGTAGTGTTATCGTGTGGTTGTGTGCCCACGAGACAGACAGAATTTCAACACTGTGCCAGGAGAGGAAATAGACTTGACAGCTGAGGGTGACATGATTCCTCAGAAATACACTCCAAAAGAATAGAACAAAATGTATTGTGAACACTAAGGCAAAGTACAGCCAGTGCTTGTGTGCATTGTGAAAACAATTTAGGTGGTTCAAATATGGTTAATTGCCCTCAAGTTGAGGCTTTCTACGTGCCTGTGTTAGTACAGCAACAATTTTCTTCTAAAATAATAATATTAATAATAACACATTTTAAACCCCTAATAAACAAAACTTCAATTAAATGCTTTAAATTAGTCTCAAAAGCTGAAACCAAGAAAATGACAATGAAAACACAAAGACTGAAGTAGTTACTTTCCACCAGACACACAGAGACCTTACAATCAAGAATGAACTAAAGTACTGTACTGACATTTCTCACAAAAAAGGTAGAACATTTAGTAAAGAAAAGAGTCAGACATAAAATCGCCACCAATACTTGAAAAGAGCTTGTTATTCACTGAAACGCCATTTCACTCTGCAGTATGTGTGTGTTTCAGTGTATAAGAAAGACTTGGGACAGAGCAGGTAAAGTCTGAATGTAAAATGTAAAAAAGGGTCAGGGCCAAATGCTACATCATTCAACTTCATCAGTCTTCCCATGCATGTCATACCACTGGATGAGATAACGAGTATTCTAATTGGACAGAAAATGTGCAACACTTCCCAAAACCTTATCCACCATCTTTTCATTCACAAATTGCATCCTGTCCAGTTTATTGAAATATTAAGTTTGCACACTCTCTGGTTTGACACAAGCCTTTCTTAAAGTTGTTAACAGTCCATGCAAAATACAAACAAAAAAAAAAAAACTTTAAGGCAGTTCTCATACATTGCATTCTACCGTGTTGCTGATATCTTCATATCTTCATACCGCGTATTTTGTACATATCGGCATATTCACATTACAGAATTACAATACCCTGCGGAGAGTCTCGACAGCAGTCTTAAATCCGGTTTGGCTGGCTGGCAGGAAACACCTTATCATCAAACACACGTGTTCATGTCCAAGACTTATTGGTGCTTTATTCCAGCTGTTTGCTGCCCTCCGATTTCTGGTCCAGTCGGCTTTTGCTGCTCTTCACCATATAAATAAAGTATGTGAGAGTCTCCTTCTCGTTCACTGGGATATTCCGGAAGTGGCGACTGACAGTCTGAAAACAAATAACATTGCATTGATTTAAAATAATTTAGTTAGCACAGAGAATAACTACGTTCTATCCAAAGTGGTATGTAAACATTACAGAGAGGAAGAGGTCAGTTTAATCAGTCTATTGATTGAACATCTAGTTGTTTTCTCCCCAATTTTAATTAAAACATTGTGGCAAGGATTAGTGGTATGGTCAGGGGCGCAACTTTCACTGGGGACGGTGTGGGACAGTTTCATCATTGGAATGTGATACAAAAAGAGGCAACGGTGTGCTTTAGGACCATGCGGACACCTCCGAGCAGTCGGGTAGGCTGTTTGGAGTGTTTATCCGACTGGATAAATAAACAAATAAAATAATGCCCCCCCCCCCCCCACTTCTAAAACGAAAGCTGCGCCCCTGGGTATGGTATATAGAGTATTATATCTAAGAGGGGGAGCAGGCAAGACCAACAAAGACCAAGTGTGATCATCAGTCTGGTTAAAGGAATACTTCGGGATTTTGTCAATGAAGTCCTTTCTCTACTTCCCCAGAGTCAGATGAACTCGTGGATACCATTTGTATGTCTCTGCCTGCAGTTTAAAGCATTCCTTTAACTCCCAACCAAATCATTGACCACAATTATGTTAAAGATCAGAACTCAAATGTATAAATTCAGGAGACCCTGTCTAAACCCAAACCCAGATGATTTTATTCAAAAGACTAAGTGTGATGGGATATAAACATCCTCTACGTAGTCTCAAAACCTAGGGCTGTTGCGGTGACCGTATTACCGCCACACCAGCGGTCACGAGTCATGAAAGTAGTCAAATCCCACGTGACTGTTTAGTCACGGTAATTAGGCTTCTCCAACCTCTGATGCTGCTGATGGTCATTAGTAGCCTACCAAACTTGCTAACTGCCTGGTACTCAGCACTCTATTTGTCCCTCTAATCACTCTGACATCAATGCAAATGTAATCGAAAATCTAACCAAAACACTTCATGAGAGCGCATGACCTCATGTTGCGCAACATTTCTATAGGCTATGCAATTACGCGAGAAAACAGAGTGATGGCCTCTATTAAAAAGAGGAGAATCCCATCAGATTTCTAAAGGCTAGGCCTACTATATTTATTTCTCAACTTTCCTAATATTAAGCACATTGCTTATCTTTACAACAGGAGTATAGCCTATCTGGCTGGCATGAAAATCAACCACGGGAAAAGCATCCTCCATTCGCTATTTAAGTGCATAGATGACACTTTTTTCCCGCTGCCCCTGTTTCGAGACAGGTGCATGATAATGGTCCATTCTAAATCAAAACAAATTTCACACATATATTATTTAGTATATGTAACGACGAGATTAAATCAAGATAGTCTGATGGGTTAAAATATTAGCCCATCACTTGTGAATTATATATTATCACTTGTGAATGATGCCCAGCATAAGGCAAGAAACAATGCTATGTTTTTTTTGTGTGACTTTTTCGACTCAGTCGCACACCTCATGTAGCCTAGCCCATAGGCCTATATGTTTTGATAAGGTTTGTAAAGTGGCCAAATAACTTCTTAAAATGAAGCACATTAATCCGCTTTACACGGGGTGTAGAGCCTAACTAGCATACATTAGCAGCGCGTGAGTTTCAAGTTTGGGGAAGATCATTTTCACCATAAAAATGCACCTTTATAATAAAAACATTACATGCATAATCGCATTTGCGATCATTTTTGATAACGGTGTTTTCCCGCTAATGGAACATTTGTGCTTATAGCCTACTGCCATGTGCGCATATAATATGAAGAAATAGCCTAATAGTTGATCAACATTTAAAGTTAAACATTCTGATCTGTTGCGTCAGCCACATTGCATAAAAAAAAGTTTTTTGATGCTAGTGTTTGTATTAATTTGGGATCTATCGCATCCCACAAATGTCCAAGACTGTTTGGAATATTTATTTCTCGCACATAATAGGTCAAGTTTGTTACGTTACAGCCTTATTCTACAATGGATTAAATATTTTTTTTCACGAAACAGGTTTTTAGATTTCTTTGCATATTTATTAAAAATAAAACACAGAAATACCTTATTTACATAAGTATTCAGACCCTTTGCTGAGACTCGAAATTGAGCTCAGGTGCATCCTGTTTCCATTGATCAACCTTGAGATGTTTCTACAACTTGGAGTCCACCTGTGGTAACTTCAATTGATTGGACATTCTTTGGAAAGGCACACACCTGTCTATGCACAGGTGTGTGACATGCACAGGCATGCATGTGACATGCACCTGACATGCACAGTTGACAGTGCATGTCAGAGCAAAATCAAGCCATGAGGTCGAAGGAATTGTCCGTAGAGCTCCGAGACAGGATTGTTTCGAGGCACAGATCTGGGGAAGGGTACCAAAACATGTCTGCAGCATTGAAGGTCCCCAAGAACACAGTGGCCTACATTATTCTTAAATGGAAGCAGTTTAGAACCACCAAGACTCCTCCAAGAGCTGGCCGCCTGGCCAAACTGAGCAATCGGGGAAGAAGGGCCTTGGTCAGGGAGGTGACCAAGAACCCGATGGTCACTCTGAAAGAGCTCCAGAGTTCTTCTGTGGAGATGGGAGAACCCAGAAGGACAACCATCTCAGCAGCACTCCACCAATCAGGCCTTTACGGTAGAGTGGCCAGACGGAAGCCACTCCTCAGTAAAAGGCACATGACAGGCCCCTAAAATAGCTGTGGAGCGACGCTCCCCATCCAACCTCACAGAGCTCGAGAGGATCTGCATCATACCCAACAAGACTCGAGGCTGTAATCGCTGCCAAAGGTGCTTCAACAAAGTACTGAGTAATGTTTTTTTTCTCTCCAGTTTTTATTTATTTATTAAAATTAGCTAAAATAAAAAAGGTTTTTAATTAGTCATTATGGGGTATTGTGTGTAAATTGATGAGGGGAAAAAAACGATTTAATCCATTTTAGAATAAGGCTGTAACGTAACAAAATGTGGAAAAGGTCAAGGGTTCTGAATACTTTCCAAATGTACTTTATCTCATCCGGTTTCTGCATTAGAAAATTAGTGAAGTCCCAAATTCCCGGCGAGATATTGTGAGAATTTGTGCACTTAAGCATACGGAGCCTCAGAAATAAAAGATCCGGACACGGATTAGGAGCCCTTTGAGGATACTGGAGTTCATAGGAGAGGAAAATGACTTTGGATAAGTGCCCTAATGAAATCCCAAGACAGAAGTTACTCTTTTAGAGCTGTCCTTCTGAGACAGCTTACCAAGTTCTTTAGATAGGCCACTAACTACTGACCAAAAATATAAAACGCAACATGTGTTGGTCCCATGTTTCATGAGCTGAAATAAAATATCCCAGAAATGTTCCATATGCACCAAAAGCTTATTTCTCTCAAATGTTGTGCACAAATTTGTTTATATCCCTGTTAGTGAGTATTTCTCCTTTGCCAAGATAATCCAGCCACCTGACAGGTGTGGCATATCAAGAAGCTGATTAAACAGCATGATCATTACACAGGTGCACCTTGTGCTGGGGACAATAAAAGCCACAGACTGCAGGAATGCCCTCCAGAGCTGTGAATGTTTGTTTCTCTACCATAAGCCGCATCCAACGTAGTATTAGAGAATTTGGCAGTATATCGAACTGGCCTCACAACCGCAGACAACGTGTAACCACGCCAGCCCAGGACTTCCACAACCGGCTTCTTCACCTGAAGGGATCGTCTGAGACCAGCCACCCGGACAACTGATGAAACAGAGGAGCACTTCTGTCTGTAATAAAGCCCTTTTGTGGGGAAAAACGAATTGGCTAGGCCTGGCTCACCAGTGGGTGGGCCCATGCCCTCCCCTGCCCAGTCATGTGAAATCCATAGATTAGGTCCTAATGAATTCATTTCAATTGACTGATTTCCTTATATAAACTGTAACTCAGTAAAATCATTGAAATTGTCGCGTTTATATTTTTGTTCTATATATATATATATATATATATATATATATATATATATATATATATATATATATAAAAAGTATTTGATCCCCTGCTGATTTTGTACGTTTGCCCACTGACAAAGAAATGATCAGTCTATAATTTTTATTTCAACAGTGAGAGACAGTATAACAACAAAACAATCCAGAAAAACTAATGTCATAGATGTTATAAATTGATTAGTATTTTAATGAGGGAAATATGTATTTGACCCCCTCTCAATCAGAAAGATTTCTGGCTCCCAGGTGTGTTTTATACAGGTAACGAGCTGAGATTAGGAGCACACTCTTAAAGGGAGTGCTCCTAATCTCAGTTTGTTACCTGTATAAAGGACACCTGTCCACAGAAGCAATCAATCAATCAGATTCCAAACTCTCCACCATGGCCAAGACCAAAGAGCTCTCCAAGGATGTCAGGGACAAGATTGTAGACCTACACAAGGCTGGAATGGGCTAGAAGACCATCGCCAAGCAGCTTGGTGAGAAGGTGACAACAGTTGGTGCGATTATTCGCAAATGGAAGACACACAAAAGAACTGTCAATCTCCCTCAGCCTGGGGCTCCATGCAAGATCTCACCTCGTGGAGTTGCAATGATCATGAGAACGGTGAGGAATCAGCCCAGAACTACACGGGAGGATCTTGTCAATGATCTCAAGGCAGCTGGGACCATAGTCACCAAGAAAACAATTCGTAACACACTACGCCGTGAAGGACTGAAATCCTGCAGCGCCCGCACGGTCCCCCTGCTCAAGAAACCACATATGCAGGGCCGTCTGAAGTTTGCCAATGAACATCTGAATGATTCAGAGGAGAACTGGGTGAAAGTGTTGTGGTCAGATGAGACCAAAAATCGAGCTCTTTGGCATCAACTCAACTCGCCGTGTTTGCAGGAGGAGGAATGCTGCCTATGACCCCAAGAACACCATCCCCACCGTCAAACATGGAGGTGGAAACATTATGCTTTGGGGGTGTTTTTCTGCTAAGGGGACAGGACAACTTAACAGCATTAAAGGGACAATGGACGGGGCCATATACCGTCAAATCTTGGGTGAGAACCTCCTTCCCTCAGCCAGGGCATTGAAAATGGGTCGTGGATGGGTATTCCAGTATGACAATGACCCAAAACACACGGCCAAGGCAACAAAGGAGTGGCTCAAGAAGCACATTAAGGTCCTGGAGTGGCCTAGCCAGTCTCAAATCTCTGGAAGACTGAAACAGGTTTCCCTCAAGAATTTCCCTGTATTTAGCGCCATCCAACATTCCTTCAATTCATAAGAGTTTCCCAGTCCCTGCCGATGAAAAACATCCCCACAGCATGATGCTGCCACCACCATGCTTCACTGTGGGGATGGTGATGAGGTGTTGGGTTTGCGCCAGACATAGCGTTTTCCTTGATGGCCAAAAAGCTCAATTTTAGTCTCATCTGACCAGAGTACTTTCTTCCATATGTTTGGGGAGTCTCCAACATGCCTTTTGGCGAACACATGCCTGTTTGCTTATTCTTATCTTTAAGCAAAGGCTTTTTTCTGCCACTCTTCCGTAAAGCCCAGCTCTGTGGAGTGTACGGCTTAAAGTGGTCCTATGGACAGATACTCCAATCTCCGCTGTGGAGCTTTGCAGCTCCTTCAGGATGATCTTTGGTCTCTTTGTTGCCTCTGATTAATGCCTTCCTTGACTGGTCCATGAGTTTTGGTGGGCAGCCCTCTCTTGGCAGGTTTGTTGTGGTGCCATAGTCTAACATTTTTAATAATGGATTTAAAATGGTGCTCTGTGGGATGTTCAAATTTCGGGATATTTTTTATAACCCAACCCTGATCTGTACTTCCCCACAACGTTGTCCCTGACAAAAAAATAAGAAAATTGAGATTCTTCAAATACCCACCCTTTGCCTTGATGACAGCTTTGCGCTCTCTTGGCATTCTCTCAACCAGCTTCATGAGGTAGTCACCTGGAATGCATTTCAATTAACAGGTGTGCCTTGTTAATAGTTAATTTGTGGAATTTCTTTCCCTCTTAATGCGTTTGAGCCAATCAGTTGTGTTGTGACAAGGTAGGGGTTATACAGAAGATAGCCCTATTTGGTAAAAGGCCAAGTCCATATTATGGCAAGAACAGCTCAAATAAGCAAAGAGAAACGACAGTCCATCATTACTTTAAGACATGAAGGTCAGTCAATATGGAACATTTCAAGAACTTTGAAAGTTTCTTCAAGTGCAGTCACAAAAACCATCAAACGCTATGATGAAACTGGCTGTCAGGAGGACTGCCACAGGAATGGAAGACCCACAGTTACCTCTGCTGCAGAGGATAAGTTTCATGAAAGTTACCAGCCTCAAAAATCGCAGCCCAAATAAATGCTTCACAGAGTTCAAGTAACAGACATCTCAACAGCAACTGTTCAGAGGAGACAATGTGAATCAGGCCTTCATGGTCGAATAGCTGAAAAGAAACCACTACTAAAAGGACACCAATAAGAAGAAGAGACTTGCTTGGGCCAAGAAACACGAGCAATGGACATTAGACCGGTGGAAATGTGTCCTTTGGTCTGGAGTCCAATTTGGAGATTTTTGGTTCCAACCGCTGTATCTTTGTGAGACGCGGTGTGGGTGAACGGATGATTTCCGCATGTGTATTTCCCACCATAAAGCATGGAAGAGGAAGTGTTATGGTGTGGGGGTGCTTTGCTGGTGACACTGTTTAACACTTTTTTGGTTACTACATGATTCCATATGTGTTATTTCATAGTTTTGATGTCTTCACTATTATTCTACAATGTAAAAAATAGTAAACAATAAAGAAAAACCTTTGAATGAGTAGGTGTGTCCAAACTTTTGACTGGTAGTATGTATGTATATGTGTGATATATATACAGTGGGGAGAACAAGTATTTGATACACTGCCGATTTTGCAGGTTTTCCTACTTACAAAGCATGTAGAGGTCTGTAATTTTTATCATAGGTACACTTCAACTGTGAGAGACGGAATCTAAAACAAAAATCCAGAAAATCACATTGTATGATTTTTAAGTAATTAATTTGCATTTTATTGCATGACAAAAGTATTTGATCACCTACAAACCAGTAAGAATTCCAGCTCTCACAGACCTGTTAGTTTTCTTTAAGAAGCCCTCCTGTTCTCCACTCATTACCTGTATTAACTGCACCTGTTTGAACTCGTTACCTGTTTAAAAGACACCTGTCCACACACTCAATCAAACAGACTCCAACCTCTACACAATGGCCAAGACCAGAGAGCTGTGTAAGGACATCAGGGATACAATTGTAGACCTGCACAAGGCTGGGATGGGCTACAGGACAATAGGCAAGCAGCTTGGTGAGAAGGCAACAACTGTTGGCGCAATTATTAGAAAATGGAAGAAGTTCAAGATGACGGTCAATCATCCTCGGTCTGGGGCTCCATGCAAGATCTCACCTCGTGGGGCATCAATGATCATGAGGAAGGTGAGGGATCAGCCCAGAACTACACGGCAGGACCTGGTCAATGACCTGAAGAGAGCTGGGACCACAGTCTCAAAGAAAACCATTAGTAACACACTACGCCGTCATGGATTAAAATCCTGCAGCGCACGCAAGGTTCCCTTGCTCAAGCCAGCGCATGTCCAGGCCCATCTGAAGTTTGCCAATGACCATCTGGATGATCCAGAGGAGGAATGGGAGAAGGTCATGTGGTCTGATGAGACAAAAATAGAGCTTTTTGGTCTAAACTCCACTCGCCGTGTTTGGAGGAAGAAGAAGGATGAGTACAACCCCAAGAACACCATCCCAACCCTGAAGCATGGAGTTGGAAACATCATTCTTTGGGGATGCTTTTCTGCAAAGGGGACAGGCCGACTGGACCATATTGAGGGGAGGATGGATGGGGCCATGTATCGCAAGATCTTGGCCAACAACCTCCTTCCCTCAGTAAGAGCATTGAAGATGGGTCGTGGCTGGGTCTTCCAGCATGACAACAACCCGAAACACACAGCCAGGGCAACTAAGGAGTGGCTCCGTAAGAAGCATCTCAAGGTCCTGGAGTGGCCTAGCCAGTCTCCAGACCTGAACCCAATTGAAAATCTTTGGAGGGAGCTGAAAGTCTGTATTGCCCAGCGACAGTCCTGAAACCTGAAGGATCTGGAGAAGGTCTGTATGGAGGAGTGGGCCAAAATCCCTGCTGCAGTGTGTGCAAACCTGGTCAAGACCTACAGGAAACGTATGAACTCTGTAATTGCAAACAAAGGTTTCTGTACCAAATATTAAGTTCTGCTTTTCTGATGTATCAAATACTTATGTCATGCAATAAAATGCAAATTAATTACTTAAAAATCATACAATGTGATTTTCTGGATTTTTGTTTTAGATTCCGTCTCTCACAGTTGAAGTGTACCTATGATAAAAATTACAGACCTCTACATGCTTTGTAAGTAGGAAAACCTGCAAAATCGGCAGTGTATCAAATACTTGTTCTCCCCACTGTGTGTGTGTATATATATATATATACACACATACACACACACACACACACACACACACACACACACACATACATATGCATATAAATAAAACTAACTAAACAGGACAGCACGGCTGTACAAAATAAATGCATGCGGTAAAAATCTGTAATGTAAGAATATTAAAGCCTGCCTACTATCATTGTGGCAATAAACAATAAACCGTTCGTCATTTGGATATATTGACACTAAGCAGTACAAGCCATAATTAGGTTGGAATAAGCTTATTTGGACAAGGAATGAGATTGCAAAAGAGGGCCGTGAGTAATTCCTCCTGGCCGTGGGTCTGGCACTTAGGCTTTCTATTCTACCAGCCAGCTCCCCTTTGGCCAAGATGTCAAGCAGAACTGGTTTCGCAAGTTGCAGTTTGTTTTGGATAGCCACTGGGAGACTTGGCATCCAAACGGACCATTGTATTTAATAGTCCAGTATTATGAAGTACATCTAGATTGCAAAATGCCAAAACTCCATATAGAACAACAATACATTAATCAAAGTGAAATATTTTGCCTGGTGCTTGTCTTTAGATGGATTAGATGCCCCACGGTTGTGTACACTGTTAGCGGTCTATGACATATTACTAACATCTTACTGCTGTAGGTCCAGGGGTTAAAAAATTAATAAATCCCATGACAAACTTAAGTTGATCTCAGATCGATTGTCTAGGGCCAAGTTAACCTCCCCTTTCATGTAAGAAAGTCATGACCATCATCCTTTTAGAGAAAGTGGATAATTTTGTACATGTATTAAACAGTGAGACAATTTCCAGTTCCCTTGCTTAGGGGGTCTGAGGTCATCCCGGGGATGCTCTTTAAAAAAGGCCAATCTACTCCAAAATGAATGAAAATAAAATTATGCTGACACCATCTAAAATATACATTTTAAATGAGCCCAATAACATATTGGTCAAAATGTAACATATATTGGAACATGCATATAGCCTATGCATGGTCTATATCAGGGTTTCCCAACCCTCTCCTCGGGCCCCCCCAGGCGTTTCACATTTTAGTTTTAACCCTAAACTGGCACACCGGTTTCCATTAGTCAAAGGCTTGACGATTAGTTGACTAATTGAATCAGGTCAATTAGTCAACTAAGGAGAGGGTTGGGGAAACCCTGGTCTATATTATGTTGTTGTTGTTGTTAAGATGCCATTGCCCCTTCAAGAGCTCTGTTGCATAGTGATGGCATTCCGAGTCTTTTCGATAAACTGGATAATCTGTTCACCTAAAAGTGCCGTTCATTTGGATCCCTAATGGCTCTTCATTCAGTAGTGCTTAGAAATTGACCTAAAACCATGAAAATAGTTCATCTCTAATTTAAAGCCTAAAACATTGCCTACCATTATGTCAGATCATGAAATGTGAGTTCAAATACAATCTCAAAGGACTTCAAAAAAGAAAAGACATGCAATTAAAAAAAGAAAAGAATGATCACGCTCATTTTCCTTCTTTTTCTTAAAGCGCTTTGAGATTGTAGTGAAAACCGCTATACGAACGGCTCTTTTTGGTGAACGTCGGGAATCGAATGTGTGAAAGAGCCATTAATTTGGCTCCCTGATTTGCATACTGTTACTATCTTTTCTGAAGATGATAATTCCTCATTGCAAAAACAATATAGTGAGGAGAGAGCCTTATTCTGGTCCACGCTTTTTTCAGTGTGTTAAAATATATAATTTTTAAGGCTATCTAATAGTTCATTAATGGCTTGAGCAGTCAGCGCCAGGAGGAAGTATAGAGTTGAGGCAGTTCAGAACCACTAGGCTACTGTTGCGCTAAAGCGCTAAACAGCTGCGCCTAAACATTTTTTGAAACTCCGGTTGTAACTGCATTCGTTGAAAGATGCCACTCCTGCAATTTAAGGTGTAGAGAAATAAGCACGGTAGCAATGGAAACCTGGGGGACCCCCCCCCCTTTTTAACAAAGGCCAAAATTGCTTTCAAAATAAATTTGCCAAAAGTGCTTTCCAACGTGTTTTCCCGCGATTGCATTAACAATTGTTGTGCATTGAATGCTTGTCAGAATAGATGTTTCTCCCCATATGGCTCCTGCAACATGAATGCGCCTCAAAATGAATATTTATCTTGCATAGAACACACAAGTTGACTAGGTAAATAGGTAAACTATTCTACTATGGGGTTGTCTGAGTTTGTTTTAATAACATTACATGGCAAAAATAGTAGCACTGGAAAGTTGCATCCTGAGTGATAAAGTATAGGCTTTGAATTACTTTGCCAGCAGCTACACAACGCTGAGTTAAGCGCTGCGGTGCTGCGTATTATATACTATTTAATTCCCTTCATTTTAACATCGGAGCGTCAGCAACAATCAATCATGTCAGTTCTGGGAACACAGCGTAACAGAAAATAAAATATTTGAGAATACACTTATTTGGGAATATATTTCATAAAACAGACATGGCATGGTATTAGGCTATATCATCTCCAAATATTTTTTATTGCAGATCTCAAAAATGACCTGTCCAGAATCCATATGATGGAAATCCGTCACAGTGACGGAGAACTTTAACCCCTGTGTAGGCATACTTGTCTTTCTTGCACTTGTAGAAATATTTTTTTTAACAAAAGGCATTTCTTACTAGCACTTCTTTCACTAACAGTTGCTTGCAGTGACTGTGATATGTGGTTGTCCTACCTAACTTAGTTGAATGCATACTAAGTCGCTCTGGATAAGATCGAATGCTAAATGACTAAAATAATAGTTGGCCTACCTCAGCCAGTTGGGCCTTGTTCAAGCCAGGTCTGGTCTGGAGCTTGTAGTGTCTCTTGTAGCGTCTCAGCGTGTTCACCTGAAGCTGGAACAGGTCCACCTAACATCACAGAAACAGACATTGTGAGGAAAGAGTGGTGTTATCCATTAAGCATTGCATATCTTTAAGCACATTTTACTGTTCTCTATCAATTACATTTCACACACAAAAAATGCATAGAGCTGTCATGCTATTAGGCCTTTTCATCATGTCATCTTATGTTATTTTTCATATCTATTTAAGTTGCTATTATTTTCTTCAAGGAGAAGCAGTGTCATTCTTTAGAGACATGATTAAAGGGAGGACAATGGGCTCGTTTTCCCGGCTGTTACCTCTGGCACTTCCACATCATGATCCGGAGACTCCCCTCCATCGTCACTTGTCTTCCTCTTCCTTTTGTTACGGACACTCTGGATGAAGTTTTTGTGGAAGTCGCATATGTAGAGGTGTCGAACCTAAAATAAGAGGAATATACACTGAGTGTACAAAACATTTTCCATGACATATACTGACCAGGTGAATGCTATGATCCCTTATTGATGTCACTTGCTATATTCACTTCAAATCAGTGTAGATGACGGGGAGGAAACAAGTGATATCTCCTAAGACTCTCGCTCCTATAAGATGGGAAGGTAGAGCAGGCAGTGGCCCGGTTGTGTGAACCAAAGGTGCCTAGCCTGAGGCACAGAAGTTTAGGTCTGTAATCATACAGACCTCCTCCCACGCATTTGGGTCTAGGGAGTCCAGTTGCTTCCCCCACCTCCTCCAGTAGCTCAGCCTGATAAGCCAACAATACAGAGGCCTTGTACATCTTCTGAAAAATGGAGGCAGTAAAGCGCTCCGTCTTTCTAGGGAGTGAGGGCCTGAAGTGGTCAGCCAGTGACTGCTCCACCGAGGGAGGGTTGCGACACCCGGATTCCTCCATATTGTGCATGTCCAGGCTCGGGGATGCCTCTAGCAAGAATCTTGCTAGTGAAGGGTTTGTCCCACAAGCTCTTAGCTTCCCTGAGGCAAGCTGGTACCGCAGGGAGCAGTTGTTTTACCGGGGCTGTATGAGACGGGAGTCTCTTCCCGTTGTAAAGGTCCTTTAACGGGACCGAGACCCTATGGGAGACGACCACTCAATGCAGAGTCTGGCCGCGGCTCGCGTGCAGGCATGGAGGAGCTCAAGGGGAAGCTTCACTGCTCTTGGGCAGTCAGACCTGAGGGCCTGAGAGGGCGTGGGAACAGTCATCAGCTCAAGAGGTGGGGGGCTATCTCGAGGATATCCGTGAGATTAATCCCATCGTCATCCCCTAACTCGCCTTCCCCTGACACTACATCATCACACAGTGAGAGGAGGGAGTCGGGGCTATCCATGACCTCGCCCCACCTGGTCTCGGTTGCAGGGAGCTGAGCGTTCATTCTTTTATTAGACGAATCCACCAGTATTTGGACAAAGCACCTCAAGCTATTTTCTTGTTGTTGTAACAACTGCTTGTAGAACTATTTTTGTTCGTTTAAAAGATCCTTCACGTGTGACAGAGACACACCACTGTCCTCGACAATGGTACTCCTGCAGGCTTTGGTCTTTGTCATGGTCGCTAGCAACGTAGGTTACGCTGTTACTCCTCGCAGTTCCAGACAGGGCAGGTCACAGGGAAGATTGAAAACAACAGACAGCCACAAACTCGGGACAATCCGCGGTCCCAGCCACAATGGCTAACCGCGTCGCAGGCTGCGTTCAAGCCCTCAAGAAAACCCTGCTAGCTTGATATGCTGCTAGCTAGCAGCTAGGCTAGTTGCAATGCCAAATAGCTCCTCAGACCTGTCCTTGGTCGGCAGGATCACTGGACAGAGACTAGCAATCCCAGCAACTGATGCCAACTGTGTCGTGGGATCCAAACTAAAAAGTTAGCTAGCTACTAAGAACTTCCCAATACAATTTCAAAACAACAAACTTTTCAAAACAACAAATACGAGCTCTTCCTCATTCCACATTCAACAGGAAGTGACGTCTGATGGTATGTATTTAACTTGTGTTCTTGACAAACATAATTTTGGAGAGCAAAGGGAAGAATAATTGATATTGGAGTTAGCCTAAAGCCTAACCAAGTGTGGCGTAGTAGCTCTGGTAATGTTGTGTTGGGAGAGCCACAGGAAGAATCCTAAACTCTGCACAAGGAGCAGGTTTTCGTCCACTCAACCAGGGCCAGTGTTATCGCCTGTCCAAATAAAATATTGATAATTTTTTCGACCGAGATGCACGCGGACAGAAAGACACATCAATCTCAGATAAATCATCAGAGCGAGCGAAACAGCGCCCCTCTGTCTCAGTATGTGTAGCCCATGTATCTGATGCTGGGCTACATACAATAAAACAGAGGAGCGCGGTTTTGCGCGCTCTGATGTTTTCTCTGGTGAGATACTAGTTCTAGCCACTTGCAAATTGAAGAAAAGTTGGCGGGTGCACAGTGCACTGTTCGGATGCTGGAATTAATTTGGGTGAACATGGGAAGGTAACCTACTTTTTGAAGTGATTTGTTTGACAATCAGATTAAAACATCATGACTGGTTGTGTTCATGCCACATTAAAAAGGAAATACATTTTTACAGTTAAATTACAAGTCTTTACTATAAAACTCACACTAGAACTGCTGCTCATGAATTAAAACATTGTATTACTTATTTTTACAGTCCCCCTCAGTCCTTGACTATTCCTAAATAAGTCTATAAAATACGTTGTTAGAATCTTAATATCACAAACAGAACTGGTGTTATAACCAAAATGGTATGTACCCTATCAGTCCACCGAATCCAAGCAGCCTTATGAGTCTACTCTGGCCTACTTGGAGTACACAGTGAGTGTGTGCGTAATTTACAAATGGCAAGAAGACCAAGACGAATGGATGCACATGCTGCATTACCGTTGCTACAAAATCTGAATGAAAATGACTCAGATGGTGGGGAAGAAATTAATCATAATGACAACCGATGATTATTCTTCCGATTCTGAGCCTTAGCCTGAACCCACACATCTGAGGCATAAGCGGAAAAAAGCCAGAAAGGTGTGCACTGACAGGTGCCCGCGTCACCACCAAATTAAAACGGTGAGACAGGAGAGAGGAAGGGACGGCACCGTTTGGATAGAACAAGCTGGTGACAATGCTACGAGCCGATTATTAGCACAAAATGTAATAACAGAGAGCAGGCCCTACCATCTCAAGCAAAAAACATCAGCAACATGCTCCAACTGATGCCATTGCGTGAAGACGCACACCATATAAGCACGAGCCGACAATAATTAACTGCTGTCATCGATGCACTGTAAGTCGCTCTGGATAAGAGCGTCTGCTAATTGACAAAAAAAATAAAAAAATAATCGACACTACTTTTTTCACATTTTGTTACGTTAAAGCCTTATTCTAAAATGGATTAAATTGTTTTTTCCCCTTCATCAGTCTACACACAATACCCCATAATGACAAAGCAAAAAAAGGTTTTTAGAAATTTTTGTAAATGTATTACAAATAAAAGTATTCAGACCCTTTCCTCAGTACATTGTTGAAGCACCTTTGGCAGTGATTACAGCCTCGAGTCTTCTTGCGTATGACGCTACAAGCTTGGCACACCTGTTTTTAGGGAGTTTCTCCAATTCTTCTCTGCAGATCCTGTCAAGCTCTGTCAGGTTGGATGGGGAGCGTCGCTGCACAGCTATTTTCAGGTCTCTCCAGAGATGTTCGATCGGGTTCAAGTCCGGGCTCTGGCTGGGCCACTCAAGGACATTGAGACTTGTCCCGAAGCCACTCCTGCGTTTTCTTGGCTGTGTGCTTAGGGTTGTTGTCCTGTTGGAAGGTGAACCTTCGCCCCAGTATGAGGTCCTGAGTGCTATGGAGCAGGTTTTCATCAAGGATCTCTCTGTACTTTGCTCCGTTCATCTTTCCCTCGATCCTGTCTAGTCTTCAAGTCCCTGACTCTGAAAAAAATCCCCACAGCATGATGCTGCCACCACCATAGGGATGGTGCCAGGTTTCCTCCCGACGTGACGCTTGGCATTCAGGCCAAAGAGTTCAATCTTGGTTTTATCAGACCAAATAATCTTGTTTCTCATGGTCTGACAGTCTTTAGGTGCCTTTTGGCAAACTCCAAGCAGGCTGTCATGTGCCTTTAACTGAGGAGTGGCTTCCGTCTGGCCACTCTACCATAAAGGCCTGATTGGTGGAGTGCTGCAGAGATGGTTGTCCATCTGGAAGGTTCTCCCATCTCCACAGAGGAACTCTGGAGCTCTGTCAGAGTGACCATCGGGTTCTTGGTCACCTCCCTGACCAAGGCCCTTCTCACACAATTGCTCAGTTTGGCCGGGCGGCTAGCTCTAGGAAGAGCCTAGGTGGTTCCAAACTTCTTCCATTTAAGAATGATGGAGGCCACTGTGTTCTTGGGGACCTTCAATGCTGCAGACATTTTTTGGTACCCTTCCCCAGATCTGTTCCTCGACACAATCCTGCCTCGGAGCTCTACGGACAATTCCTTCAACCTCATGGCTTGGTTTTTGCTCTGACATGCACTGTCAACTGTGGGACCTTCTATACACAGGTATGTGCCTTTCCAAATCATGTCCAATCAATTGAATTTCCCACAGGTGGACGCCAAACAAGTTGTGGAAACATGAAGGATGATCAACTGAAATCAAGGTAAAGGGTGGCTATTTGAAGAATCTCATATTTGTTTAACACATTTTTGGTTACTACATGATTGCATATGTTATTTCATAGTTTTGATGTCTTTACTATTATTCTACAATGTAGAAAATAGTAAAAATAAATAAAAACCCCTGAATGAGTAGGTGTTCTAAAACTTTTGACCGGTAGAGTATATTAGGCTATCAACGAGTATGGCTAAGCTATTCTTCATAGTGCCAGTGAATTTTAGTTGAACATCACCAAATGCATCAGTTTAATTAGGCCTAAATGAATGAAAAGTATTGCCTATAGCTTATTTAATGAAACCCTGGCTGGCTGTTGATGTCCTAGGTCAGGGCTCTCCAACCATGATCTTGGAGAGCTACATTCCAGTAGGTTTTCACGCCAACCCCAGTTGTAACTAATCTGATTCCGTTTATCAACCAGCTAATTATTGAATCAGATGCGCAAGATTAGAAAACCTACAGGATGGTAGCTCTCCACGAACAGGGTTGGAGAGCCCTGTCCTAGGCAATAGATCGCAAAGCAGCATCCCTGCTAAACTTTTTGTTCACTTTCTCATCCATAAACACAGTCAAGTGCAAATAGGGTTCAGCAGATCAAATCAGCAGGATGTGGGGCATTGTTTTTAGGAAGGACGTCAACCATGGATAGATTGCTAAAATAATGATTATGATCACACTTCATCAATTTTTATATTATCGGGAGACCTATACATTTGGCAGCCAAGCACGAGTTATCAGTGTAACCTATTCTCGTCTAGAAATGATGTCGAAATATATTCACGCCTATAATAAAAACCTACAGGCTTCCGTCATGAGTCGATCAAAACATTATAATAATTATAATAATTACAAGAGGCCGTTTGGAAAAACTAATCCTGTGTGAATCATCGTCTGGAATAACGCATATGCTTGGATAATTACAAAACCAACGTCTCATAATACCCGTCCGAATAGGGCTATAACATAGCAAAGAATTGGCTTATCAGCATAGAGTGCGCCGCATCATCCCATGGGATCCGTCAAGGCTGCACACAGCAGAAAAATCACTGAAATATTATTCCTACACATATCCCCTTATATATTCAAAAAATGTAGGCCTTTTTTAAGCAAATGGGCAGCATCATGTTCATGTCAGTGCTTTAGAACGCAAATGTAGTCTTCCTAGTAGGTCTGCAATAATGAGGTGCTGTGTATGTGTGTGCGCATCCGGTTCAGCGTGTTTTGGGAGTCGAGCAAGAGCCGACTCTTTTCGACTCCAAAAATACTGGAGTCGTGCACTACTAGTTCTGCAGGGTGAAACCAAAATTGTCTATATGCACACTGCGGTTATAAACATGCAGCGCCCCCTATGAGTCGCTTACTACAAGCCACGCCCACTGCCATTGGGTTGTTAAGCACTGTCTCTGACACACACACTCCAGAACAGTACGTGGCGGTAATGCACCAACGTTTTACCGCAGTTCTATTAACGTTACAGCGAGTGAAGTAGCTAGTTAGAGAGACAACCCAACTCTCGCGTGGTGGTTACCCTCGCCGTAACGTTAAAATAACTGCGGGAGAGAAGTGCTCTTCAGGCTCGGGCGAAGGACACTGTGCCCGTGGCCTGGCTCGCTAACAGTTGTCGCAGCATGTAGAAAGAGATGCGTAGTGGGCGCGGCATGTAGTAAACGCCGTCTGCAGATGGACCCTTCTCGGTGAAACAGCCAAGGCTCGGATTGGAGGTGGGGGAGCAACCCTCCTTGTTTGCTGTTCCAAATAAAACCATAAGCAATCAGAAGTCCACAATGTTCCGTGATACATGATTATGGCGCAGAACAATTGTAAAACAATAACTAATAGATTAGTGAGGTTGAATTTGCCAACAAGCGTGCTCGATTAGCAAATTCTTGCCTAGCAAACTGTCAGCGGGAACGTCTAGGGGGCTAACTAGCTACCTCGTCTCATAGTTAGTACAGCTAGTTAGCAATAACCACTTACGCTTTTGTCGATATCCAGCTTTAGTTTTTTTTGCGATATGCTTTTCTGGATCCGCTTGCTGAAGGAAGCGTTTCCAGCTGATCGTCCGCAGCGCTCACCGTCCTCAATCAAACAACAAGTCTGGCCATAAAACGGTGGCGCCGGGGGTCCATCGTGACTGTCTTCTTCTGTGCTGAACCCGTTCATGATAACTAGTTGGTTTGGGGATCTTCTTGTAAAAACCACTGAGAACGTTCTTCTCTCGTCCCACAATGTCAACTTTCTACTACAGACAAGCGTAAACGTCGTTATCTATTTTTATTTTTTTACTAAACCAAAGCGAAAAATGTGGTAATAAAATGACACTTTACTAAGTTTCGTCGTAAAGCTAGGTACCCATCCCACAATACAAGCTAGAATGCCAAGAAACAGGACCGCAATGTGGCTTACTAGCTAAGTAACGTTACTGCTAACGAACAAATTCCTAAACTGACAACGCGCAACCGTTACTTTTCTATCATTCGTACATGCCGCTCTAAACAGTTCACATATATCAAACTAAATCGGAACACTTCAATCGTCTTTCACTGACTAAACAACTTTGAAGACATCACGTATTTCATAGACTTCACCTCAACAGCCGCGGTATTCTTTCAGAATAGCTTGTACAATGAACATGTCCTGCTCCTGCAGCGGAAGTTTTCTTACTGGATCACTATTGGTCATTTTCTAATAGAGGCGGGATTAACATGTTTGTATTGCTCTTCGGTTGGTTAAAATGTATGTAAATTCAGTTGTTGCTTCCTGGATTACGATGCGTATTTGTTTTGTATGAAAAGACGAGTCTGACACGGCCACTGTGCTATCTTCATACTGACGTGCGTTATATACGGACATTATCACCATACTAGATATGTAGTGGCGTAATAATGTTATATGATGTACAGTTTTATATTTTGTTTTCTGTGTAATGTAAGTACCTTAATGTGTTTGGACCCCAGGAAGAGTAGCTGCTAATGGAGATCCTTAATACAAATACTGTACTATGATAGTCTGATATTATTTCAGTCTAATAACACTGTCGTTGTGTAGTCTCCTTTCGAATATGCACACAAGAGTTATCAAGTTGTTAAAATACAGAAAGTAATTTCATCCTTGGTCTTGTAAATGTAGCCTACCACTGCCCTAACCAGGACGTTTCCCAAAAGCATGTTGGCTAAATTAAGATGCTTTTGGGATACCGGGCCTCGATGAAATAGCCTTATTGCCCTTGACAGTTTCTTCTAAACTAGCTAGTAGATTCATTTTAAATATGAATAAACAGTGGATTTTAAAAAATGTAGGATTACAGACTGTGACACTCAATTATAATTCTGCTGCAAATTAAAATGGTGATTAGACATCTCAACTATGAATGGAACAAGGCCCAAACTACATTCAATGCTTTAAATTGGTGCTTTTAGGAGACAATGTCATCCTCACAAAGTAACTACAGTCAGAGGAGTACTTTGCTACAGTATAGAAAAACAGTAGTAATCTTTGTCGTCATGTAACTTTGGTGACCAGATACTCCCGGATTTGTGGCCTGTCCCCAGCTAGAGCTGTCCCCTGAAATGTCCCGATTTTAATTTCCCAAAATCTGATCACTTTACTTCACATTCACGTTGCATTCTTTTGCCACTAAGGGGAGCCAAAGTGCAAACTTGATAGGGAATTTATTGCTCAACTTTTCTCATGTGTAAAAATATAAAACGCAGAATATAACAAGTTATAGGTATGGATTAATTAGTCTAACGAAAGTAAAGTACAGTACTGTGCCTTCGGTCAGCTCCCAATGACAGGCCTGAGGCTAAACTTGTCATATTATGCCATCTACTTGTTATTCATGAACATAGCACATGGTGTTAGGTAGCCAGGTCAGAAGCACAAACAACTATCAAATGCGTATTAATAAATATTATTTATTTAGTAAATCTTACTTTAACATTTTTATATTAAGATAATTTCATTTATGTACACATTTATTGGTGCAACTTTTTCCACTCAAATGAAGTGTCACAGAGGAAGTGAGACACACAAAATGGAAAATATGAGAGAAAAACGACATAGGACTGACTACCAACATCTAAACCCTAATGTCACAGCTTGCAAGCTTGATTATCAGATCCACTGTGCTACAAAACAAAAAACAGCAGCCCTACAAAATGAGACCAGAAAGAAACAGCTTGGTTTGGTCAGGGTGGGAGGGAGGACAACAAGGATGGGGTGACAAGGTGAACGGGAAGGCGACAAGATAGGTGAGACTGAGGGCGAGAGATAGATGGAGAGAAGATGAACAGAGGGGGGGAATTAAGAATCACATTTACTTCAACCAAACAAATAAATAAAATAATTAAACAGGAGACCAAATTGTAATTAGATTTTTTTCTATTTTTTAAAGGCTGCGCGTACCGCGCAGAGCAGTGGTAATCATCATGAGTGTTAAAAAAGATTTCATGACAGTACTGCAACAGCAGCAGCAGCTAATTCTTTAATTGACGCTGGTGGTGGCAGCAGCGAACCACTCTCCACCTCCGCGGCAGTACTTGGTGAATTTATCTTTCAGGTGCTGTCGGTACTGGTCGCGGTTGTTGTAGAAGGACTTGTTGCTATCCACAAACGACTGGATCTCGTCCTGCGTGAGGCAGTTCTCTTCGTCTGAAGTCACTTCAGAGTCGTCCTGTTTTCAGTAGAAAATACAGTTAAATGGACCTTCCAAACACACACTGAATAAATATGTTACATCCTACACTCATATGGAACTCAAAACTAGTACAAATAATGACATCCAGCACTGAAGTGACTATCACAGCTTTTTTTAAATTTCACTGACTAGTAGTTCCATGAGACTGTTGACGCTGGTGTTTCCCTGACCACACATGTTTGCCTCCAGATAACGGCTCATGTTCTTTTGATGTTCTGTCCATGGTAACTGCAGTGCAATGCTAGAAAAGGTGTCACAGCACAACTTGGCGCACGTCTCTTTGGTTCTGCACACATGTGATGTCGTAGAAGTGTTTTGCCCTCTCCTGTACCCTTCCATCACACAACCCTCTGTTTTTGGACCCTTTGGAAGAAAATTCATTAAAAAACAAGTTTTGTTTAATAGTTTCACCTGATTAGCAATGAATGACAGTCTAGTGAGAGCTGTGATTAGGACAACATAACATAAGGAAAATCTGGCAAGAGGAAATGTCAATTTCAATTATAAGCTATATGAATGGAAAAATCACATCCCTACTATGGTGAAATCAAACTAAATTCTAATCTCACCTGATCGTTACATAAGCCCTTGTTCTTTCTTTTCTTCTTATTCTTCTTGCCCTTAGTGTTTTCTTCAGAGTTGGCCCAGCACTCCACACAGCTGTCCACCCCGTCCTCCTCCTTATCTTCATCACAGTGATTATGATGGTGACCACACGAGTAGTCTCCTTCAGATGACAACAAGAAGACACAGCAGCAGTGAGAAAGGAGACTGGTGAGGAGTCAAAAGACATGACATGCATCCCCATGCAGGTACGCCACATTCTGTGTCTTGCAAAAAAAGAAAGACAAATGACAGCAACACCCAGGTTTGAAAAATGCATCACTACTATTTGGACCACTAACAAAAAAAATTGACCAACCTGCTTCATCGTGGTTGCAGATTCCCTCAGTGCAGGCGACGTCAGAGCATTCCCGTGAGCCAGGCTCGCTGCCTTCCATGCTAGAAGAGTAGCCACAGTCACTCCCATTGTTGTGGGGTGACAAACCTGGGGAAAGGACAAGGAGAAAAATCAGTTAATGAGCTCAACAAATGCCTGAGGCTGGTCTAGCGGGTAATGCCACCTACCGCATATATATGTAACTGCCAGAATAAAGGAAACACCAACACAAAGTATCTTAATAGGGTGTTGGGCCACCAGGAGCCGGAATAGCTTCAATGCACCATCATTTGGTGTTTTGTTGATGGTGGTGGAAAACGCCGTCTCGGGTGCCACTCCAGAATCTCCAATAAGTGTTCAATTGGGTTGATAGAGTGGTATACTACGAAGCAAGCTACAGTAGATCTACTCAGGCTTTTATAAAAGCTAGCCAGCTTCACATTCCAGGTCAGGCTTCAGCTGTACTACGACGGTGGATATTGCTCGTCTACCTGCCGCTAACTCTAGCAGGCTTGTAATTGCGAGTGCATGTCGCACATGGCTAGTCGAACACTGAACTCTTCATTGAGACTATGCTGAAGCGAATTAGTACCACATTTTCATTTGTGCTGGAATCAAAATTAAAGAAAAGTTATCTTGCAAATTCAGCAGTCTATGGTGTGAATAGCGCTGTTACGGTGACCGTATTACCGCCACACCGGCAGTCACGAGTCATGACCGCAGTCAAATTCCACGTGACTTGAGTCATGGAAACTAGGTTTCTCCAAAACTGCGCTCCGATGCTGCTGATGGTCATTAGTAGCCTACCAAACTTGACAAATGGATTTATTAGACTTTTTAAAATGTAGATGTTCCAAAAGTTCTCCATCAGTGACTTGTAGGATATGGGACAGCCCGAGTGTGAAATAGGCTTTTAGAAGTGCCATCTTAATTGTATTACTTATCGTTAATGCCGTCTTTGGTGTGCTTATCAGTGCACAAGCACCTTTTCCCCACTCCTATCGCTAGGGCTGTGACGGTAATTGAATAACCGTGTAACTGACGGTTATGGATGAAGACCGTCATGAAAATAAAATAACCATCAAAACCGTTTAAAAATAGGCCTACGTTCATTTAGGGATTTTGTTAAAATGTGTATTAACTTTATTTTCATGCAGATGAACTTTACCTAATAGCGGGAGTGTTTACTAATGATTATAAGCAATTGTTTCGCTAACTTAGTCTGTATTAAACTGCCTCCATCTCCTCCTCTTTCCAACTTTCCTTTGCTGCTCGAGTAGCTAATCCGCTAGCTGCGCAAGGGTGTAGAGCGCTATAGGCTATAGTACTTTAGTAAAAAGAATCCTTGATGTATGGACTTTCTTTTATACAATGCACGTTTTCATTGCTTGTAAATAAATACAAATCGGTCCCACATTATTATTATTATATTTTTTTTTTATAGTTGGATGTGTCTGACTATTCATTAAAATATTCAACAGCAGTCGACAAGGTTGTTCTGGCTCGGGGGCCTATAATGCGCTA